CTGGCCGGAAAATGGTAGCAAGAAAATGGCATTAAATGTTTGTTATATGCACTTCAATCGATGAAAGTTGTTTGAGTGAAGATATGCTGCATATATATATGTATGGGTGTGTGTGTGTGTGTGTGTGTGTGCGTGTTAAACGATAATATATATGTTAATCGTCTAAAACAGGGGTTACAGGGTGTGGAAGAATTAGGAACAGAAGAAACAATAATGATAATCAGAAAGAGAAGAGAGTAATCAGGAGGACAGTAGATAGCGATTGACATTGTATTTAATTTTTTACAGATTAAACTTGGCTGGAAAGCATGGAGCCATAAGAGAGTTCCACAAGCGAGAAGTGCTAGAAAAGAAAATGTTACCATATAATTTTGCAAAGATCAACTGTAAATCTATGAGCACTCCACGGCAGTCTAGTGCTGCGCTTAAATTAAAAAAATTAGGTACCATAGTGAAGAGCTCATCCGAACAAATATATATATATATATATATATATATATATATATATATAAATTATGCTCTCGAAATAATTCGATTAAGCTCTCCGAGACGGAGGAGTGAGTTTATAAACAGTGACTGCTGCTGCTAATGCAATGCTCTTCTACTCCAATTGAGCTCTCCTAGCTACTGACGCCTTTCGCATTGTAAGAACGGTAAAATTTCCCGATAGCTTGGAGGTAGAATCTCTGAGATGCCAAAACGGCCGTGTTTTGACCCCGGCTTGAAACAATAGGAAATCTGGCCACATTGATGAACTATCATAGAGCGAAACAATCTGTCTGTGGATGACTATATATATATATATATATATATATATATATATGTGTGTGTGTGTGTGTGTGTGTGTGTGTGTGTGTGTATGTGTGTGTGTGTGTTTGTGTGTGTGTGTAGACGTAAACACAGACATGGACATAGGAAGCAAGACAAAATGGTGATTGTCAGTTTCATGTTTCAGTGCAATTTCCTGTCAAAATCACCACTTCCCAGCAGTCTGATTACGAGGAAATAAGCTATATATATATATATATATATATATATATATATATATATATATATATATACAGTATAAATTTTGCTATTTATGAGGGAAACGTGCTCAACATCGTAGATAGAGAATTTATACATATTAACAGAAATCAATACTACATGATGTCTGTCAGTTTTTCTCTCTCTAAAATTACACACAAAAAATATATATATATATATATATATATATATATATATATATATATAATCAAATAGATAAATATATGATTTGTGCAATCAATCTAGGCTATTATGTATATTTTTTAAATATATCTCTCGTTTTTATTATCATTTCATTTAGATTCCTTGACTAATTTCGGCCAACATGGCCATCTTCAGGAGAAAAAAAAAATTCTGCTTGCTGGTAGCAGTGAACTACAGAAATGAATGTCTTGATGGAGAAAATGAACTTTTGTCTGTAGTTTTTTTTGTTTTTTTTATTTTTTAACATGAATTTTGGTCAGTCCTTGTGTTGGTCAAACAGTTTCTTTTAAATTGTTATTTGAGATAAGAACTGGATGGATTCATGCTGCTATATATATATATATATATATATATATATATATATATATATATATATATATATATCAACAGATATATATACTGTCCGATTCTGGGACCATGTAACCAAGAACAACCTCCTTATTCCATTTTCTTTTTTTTTTAGGAAAGATTTTATATTTTTCAACCTATGCATGATAATTTTATTATTTTTCTCACTGCTATGGATATCTTCCATGGTCTGCTTAGTATAGCACAAGACTGCGTGTGTGGGGCACAGAGAGAAAGAAATCCAGATATTTATCCAGCTTTCAAATGTCCCCGATGCGATCTGATGTTTTTTTTGAAAAAAGAAACTAAATTCTTCTCATTTGTCCGACTCCCTATTACCGTTGTTCTCTTTTTGAATGTTTCTTTTCTTTTTTTTTTTTTACGAAGATAGTCTGGCACAAGGTTGTATTTTATGAGGGATCCGGTAAAGACCCAAATCTGCCAACGGTTAACTTAATAACCACTTCACTTCATTGGGAGTTCCTAATGTTACTACTATTGAAACCACAGCCTTCGACTTGTTACAAGTGTTTATAACTGCCGTGAACGCTATCACAAGCAGCAGCAGCAGCAGCTGTTATCAAACGATGAAGAAGGATGACAACGATGATGATGATGATAATGATACTTATCATGCTGTAGATGTTGTAAAGCGAATAAACTGCGCGCAGGATTTCTGCTGATGATAGTCGTGGCGGCGACGGTGATGGGGGACGTGGTGGTTGGACGCTTACTAGTTGTGTAGTCGTTTTAGGACTATTACGTCTGCTATAACTACTCAGATATGGCGCACGGGTCGATCGTTGTTGGTGTAACACGTTACTTTAAATTCTAGGGCCTGTTCAGGACATTCTACATCTCTCCCTCTGTCTCTCTCTCTCTCTCTTTCTCTTTTTCTAGTTATCCCACACTTTTTTTTTCT